TTTTCTCTGTATCTATGAAGCGCCTTGAGGCGACATTTGTTGTGATTTGGCGCTATATAAATAAAATTGAATTGAATTGAATTGCAATATAAACACCAGGTTCACAGTCACAGAACAAAAGAAAACCTAGTCAGGACAAGACAGCAGTTCCCTAAAGGATTGGGCCCAAACCAGCGGTTACCATTTACTACTACAACTGACAAAGTAATGCCAGGAAACAAAACGTTGAGGCACTGGGAAATGTAATTATAAAGTTGTTACCTATGAGAGTCTGTTGGTGGACTAATGAGGCAGATAATCACCTTAAAGGGTGGAGAATACCTGCTCAACCTTTCCTGGACTCTGCAGGAGGTGTAACACACAAAACAAACTTGTTCCTGCATCCTGCCTTTGTGAATGTTTATTACCTGAGGCTTCTAGTTCTTACTGTGTTGGTCCTTAAATAAAAACACCTTCCTTTTTCTGTCAGGTAAAGCCTTTGACACTGCTGAGGCTGTGAATGCTGCTGTTTCCAATATCATCTGTTCGATTGTTTATGGTAAAAGATTTGAATATGATGACCCAGAGTTCAGAGTGATGCTGAGTCGAGCTAATAGGAATACTCAACTCCTGGGCTCTGCTTCAGTGCAGGTATGATAACAATCTGACAGAAACAGTTCTTCACATCCTCACTCCCCTGTCACTTGTCAGGTTGTTTTGCTGCTTACTACTACTCCTTTACATGTTTGTAATTATTTGTCCTTTTGTTTTGTTTTTTGTCTTCTTTCTAGTACCTAGTCTAGTTTCCATTGCTTATAACCTGCTGGAATGGTTTTAGAACCCTCCTTATTGTTTGCCTTTCCGACTGCTGACCTCATGAGCCTGATTAACCTTTGATTAAAAATGTAGATTTTAGGCCTTGCTCTTGTCTCCTGTGTTCTAAGTTCAGTAGATCAGCATTGCTATTTACCTTTTGTCAAAATGCAGTTTTTAGTGTAAATTCAGAATGCTAAAAGAAGACATTAAGGCCAATAGTATTTAGTCATTACAAAATATCTGCAAAATCACCATGTCATCCATGCCCTGCTACGAACAGGATTTCAGGTTCTCTTATCTAAATCGAAGATTAATAGCAACAGGATATCATGTCCAGTTATGCAGTTTTCTATAATTAAACATATAAATACAATGTATTTGTTAAACTGGTAATGTGTGGTGAATCTAACTTTCTTGTTTGTTCAACAGTTGTATAACTACTTTCCAATGCTGTTCAGTTGGGTTAAAGCCCACAAAGAGCTGAGAGAGAATGCCTTTGCTAATAGAAAACAGATTGCAGCATTGATCAAAGGTTTAGAGGACACTCTTGATCCACAGATGTGCAGAGGTTTGGTGGATTCATTTCTCGCTCGGAAGATTCAGCTTGAGGTAAGACCTAAATTTGATTAAATACCTTTCCAAAGTAATCTTATTACTGAGACACATTTCTTCCCTTTTTTCTACTTGTAAGGCATCTGGAAATATAGATAAAAATATAAGTTCTCACTATCACGAAGACAACCTACTGATTACTGTTGTCAACCTATTTACTGCTGGCTCAGAATCTACATCTACTGCTATAAGATATGGCTTAATGCTCATGGCCAAGTACCCTGAAATACAAGGTAAGAAATATAATACACTTATTTACTGGTGATGCTTCATTCACCAGACATCTGGGCAATGTGGAAATGAAACAATGGTATTTTAAGTGAAAATAAAGCAAAATCAAAAAAACAACATTGTCATAAAATTTAGACCGGGTTATGCAGCTTTTTCTAACGCGGGAAAAAAAGATGGTAAGAAACACTTACGTCAAAGAAAAGGCAAACGTGAGAAATGATTTAGAACAAAAACACAGTCCTACCCATGGGCAAATAGCCATTGTCTAGTAACCCAGAATACTGTCAAACTGGCTCTCTGGCAATACTCGTCATTTCCACTCCCTGGTCTATTTACTTATTAGATTACTACCTACTACTGGGTAAGAATAAGATGGTGGCAGATAAAGAAGGGCGGAAAAAACAATACCAATCACAAACCACAGTAGGCTTGCCACGGCTTCACCGGGAAGGAGTTCACTGTATATTGTGAGGATATATTAGCAATCAAGAAATTGAAGCATATAAAACAATCAAATGTTTCTCTTTTCAAGTATGTTCTTTATTTTATTTATGAAAGAACTAAATCTCATGACTTCCAAAACGTATATGATCACATTTGGATATAATTTGTCCAAAATCTGAATTTTTGTTTGACCATTAGTCATTGCTATTCTGACTAACATAGGTTTGCTAGATGTCCCTTTTACTTAGCTCCAGCAGTGTGCAGAATACTGCAGATATAAACATGAATTCAAACCTAACAGAAAATTCATAAATTGCTGTTAAATAGAATAATTTGTGTAACAACACTACTACAGTTTTAATCATTACTTGGTTTGTTTTTTCTTTTTGTAGACAAAGTCCAGGAGGAACTGGATCAGGTAGTAGAAAATCGCCAGGTCCGAGTGGGAGACAGAAAGAGCCTGCCGTTCACTGACGCTGTCATCCATGAAATACAAAGAGTGATTAATACTACGCCTTTTATTGTACGTTGCGTTTCACAAGATGTCACCTTTCAGTCCTACTTCATCAAGAAGGTAAAACAAAAGCCTAACAGTCCCAGTTCTGAACCAATTAGTGACACTGTACACGTCTACATTTTTATTTTTAAAAAATGACACGTGAGTGCAGAACAAACAGCATCAAGAGTAACATGAAACGAACACACTGGGCTCTATAGGACCCTCACCAAGACGTACAGGCTACTATGTAGGATAATGACTTTTGTTCACACTTTAAGCTGTCGTTGTTCTCAAACTATAGTAGATCTTAGTTTATGTTTATTTGGGGTTTTTTATTTTCATATCCATAAATTATCACAAATTGAAATTCTAAATAAGATTTTAGTGTTAAAAAAATCACTGAAACTATGGGTGCTTTAATATATTAAGTTACCCTATAGGTTATTTATTTATTTTTATTTAACAACAAATGTGGCCACCGTGGTTCAGGGGGTTGGGAAGCGTATCTGTAATCGGAAGGTCGCCGGGTCAATCCCCGGGCTCTCTGTCCTGGTCGTTGTGTCCTTGGGCAAGACACTTCACCTTGCCCAAGGACTAGGTGTTGGCCAGAGTTGGCTAGGTGTGGGCCGATGGCGCGATATGGCAGGCTCGCTTCTGTCAGTCTGCCCCAGGGGAGCTGTGGCTACAACCGTAGCTTGCCTCCACCAGTGTGCGAGAGTGAATGAATAGTGGCATTGTAAAGCGTTTTGGGTGCCTTGAAAAGCGCTATATAAATCCAATCCATTATTAATGTGCTGAAATAAACAGTTACAATAAGGAATGAGTATATTGTATAACACTACTGCACAAAAGATACAAAAGGAACACAGGGGGAGGCTAAAATAACCGGAAAAACCCCTGACAACTGCAACTTGTCTTAAATGTTTAAGTAAAAAAAAACAAACTATGTAAAATGTACAACACGTAATTAAACTCAGGAATTTTTTGTTGCCTAATATAGAAATGAACAATTAATGAATACATATAAAGGAAGAAATTAGCTCAGCATTCACATTATTGCTATTGACTAACAGATCTTTAATGCTTAGAAGTGCTGACTTCAGCTAACAAGTTTGATGGGCTATTTTAAATGCAGGGATTCATTTGACTGCATTTATACCACTATTTTTGGTATTTTACAGTTTAAGTTTAATTTTTGGAAACTTAAGTAAAATTTATTTCATGAGTGCTCTTAAGACAATGAGAAAGCAATCTTCTCCATATTTTAGGGAACCCCAGTGATTGGTCTGCTTTCATCAGCTCACCAGGATGAGAATAACTGGGAAAAGAGTTCTGCTTTTAATCCAGCCCATTTCCTGGATGAGAAAGGCAATTTTAGAAGGAGAGAGGCCTTTATCCCATTCTCTGTAGGTAAGTGTGTGGGTTCTGTTTTTAATTTTTTTTTTTTTTTTTTTTTTTAAACACAAAGAAATACAAGTCTAAGACAAACATTAAGATGGCTTAACAGTTTCTGATTCCCTGATTTCTTGCAGGGTCGAGGGTTTGTGTTGGAGAGAGTCTGGCCAAGATGGAGGTTTTCCTTTTCTTCGCCTCCCTCCTCCAGCGCTTTCGATTCACTCCTCCACCTGGAATGACTGGAGATGACCTGGATCTGACACCAGTTGTAGGGTTCACCCTCACCCCTTTACCTCATAAGCTCTGTGCCATCAGCAGATTTTAAAGATTCAAAGTGTAGAACACACAAGTGGTATTTGTCTTTAACCATTTTGGTTACACAAAAACACAAACAACAAGCTGTAGGAGTTTGATCTGCTTGTTCTTATTAAAGGTATTGTTGTCATTGTTAAAACCAAGTTTGCTTTTTTTTTTTTTTTTTATAAACGCACCTATCATAAACCCCCTGAGTGAAGTTTTTAAAATTTGGCTACAAACACCATGAAATCAGGGATGAATTAATTAGATTTTGGTGGTCTAAAGCCACTGTAACCTTATGAAACATTTTTGGCAATAAATCAAGAATTCAATAAAGAAGCAAGGATATTTTTATTATCCCTAAAGGACAATTTGTTGTTCAGACAGCAGAAATCACACAACCATCAAGCAAAATGCAATAAATGTACAAAAAAGCAGGAGTAAGAACACAGCATGGTATTCAATGTATTTGTCCTGTATAATGTTTGCAGTTGGAAGCAACGTAAAACTGCCCAAACTTCAGTCCTAATCTTATGCGTACAGCTCAAAGGTCATTCAGGGTCATACCTACAATTCTGCAATATCTAGACAGAGCGCGAGAGAGCAAATGGAAGCATATGTACAATATTTGGTTAATTTGACACATTTTACTGCATCTATTTCTACTTTCATTTAATTTTTCAGGTTGACCTTTTGATTTTTGTTTCCCCATGTGTATCAATCAATTTTTACACACCGAACTCTGTTCATGAGCGCACGGTGAAGGTAGTGGAGGGGCCCATATTTGCATTGGCCCAGTAGGTAAATGCCACAGCCCTGGATTCAGTGACCCTGCACTAGCTGATTAGAGAGATTATAATGCCACTCCCCTCAGCTGAGTTGTAATGGTGGCTATTTGTATCCCTCTGTTGGTCTAGAGATGTACAGTTGTGGTCAGAAATGTACTCATCATGGGGATGAATGTCATGGTAAATTTTGGGTTTTAAGAATTTCTTTAAACTTTCCATTTATACATTATTATAAATTATTGTCTATTTTCTCTAATGCACACAGGGTCAAATATATGCATATAACCCAACTAATATTTAGTCAAATATTCCTCAGGAAGCTCTATTTCGACCAGATGGTCACCATCAGCAGAATTCTGGCATAAATGTGGCTGGATATTTGACCACTCTTCTTTGGTAGAAGTAACTTTAAATGATTGAGCTGGTTAAATTGCTCCATTCATCTTTTTCTCCTCATCTAATTCAGGGTTACAGGGGCTGGAGCCTATTCTAGATGCCATAGGGCGAGAGGCAGAGTATGCCCTGTACAGGTCACCAGTCTGTCGCAGGACCAACACAGCGAGACAGATTTACGCTCACATTCACACCTACGGTCTTGACCAGCTGGCAGATTAGAACCCAGGGCCTCACTTCATTGTGGATGGTGACGCTGGCGTTCCAGCAGTTTCCACTTAATGGCAGACTTGAGCCGTTGTAGTTTCTGAACATCCTAACCAATTTCCTCTCATGTGGAGGGTGAGTTTGAGTATTCTTTCACTCTGGCAAAGTGGTTACACATCTGAATAACTTACAATTATTTAAACTATTTAATCTTGGAATCTGCATCTATCCATCTATCTGCTACACAAAGAAACTGCCAGCTGTAGTGAAACATGATCACTAGCAAGAAGTTAATAGGAGCTGGCCTTGTCAAGTTAAAAGACATTTTGTCCTGTGTGGATTAGAGAAAGTCCAAGATAAATTCAAACTGCAACCAATTGGTTTTGTTTTTTGTTTTTTTAAAGTCATTAAAGATGTATGCATTACAATCATTCCACCCTGAAAAAAAAGAACACTTAAAAGAAATAATTAAAAGCCCAATTACTACCCATTTATGCCCACAACAGTATACACCAGGTAAGGCTAAAAGCACCGGATTTTTTTTCTGTATAACAAAAAAAAGTTTTACAGAAAGAAACATTACCATTACTTGTCTTTTAGCATAACAGTGAAAGTGTTGTCTTCTTCCTTTATATTCAAAATAAGGCAAACACCCAAAACTCGTCACCCATATAGATGGATAAATACAAATACCACAGAAAAAAATATACACACATCCGATTTTGTCCTGAATCGCCCCTTGTAAGAATCACGTTTTTCTTTTTGTTTTTTATTCAAGCATTCTGAGTTTTATATGAGAATGGCTTGTCATCTGTAAAATAGTGAAATGGAAGCATGCTTTGGATCATAATAAGGTCCTTGTGTTTTATAATCAGTTTGCCCAGATGTATGAAAATTAACAGTTGATAATGCCAGTAATGGTGATATAAGATAAACATGTCATTAAAAATGTCAGAATTATTTAATTGTTGCCTGTAGCAAATACAAATTATAATATTTACTAAAAGATTGTAGTATCCTATTGCTGATTGTACCCTCTCCCTTTGGAAATAAATAAAAAACTTGCTACATTGTTTATTGTTATATTTGAAAACATGTTCATAATGCTACAGTCACTCTAAAAAAGTACATCAAAGCCCTTGTGGTCCTCAAACAGTGTGTGGAATCTAAAGCCATCTATGGTCCTTCCACTTTGATAATATTGATCTGCTGGTCCTGTGAAGAGTGGTCCGAGTTCAGCACTGGTCGAGTGGAAACGCTGCAGTCCTGGAAAGTCCTTGTTGAGCAGCTGCTTTGGAATTCCGATGTTTTACTCTCCAATGCTCTGAAAGTCTGAGGATGTGACTGTATGCTGTATGTGGAGACATATGATTGTGTGTAGGGAGGCATGAGTGGTTGACTGGTCTGCTGAATATATGCAGCTGAATAAGGTTGTGTTTGAGAAGGGGTGTGAGTAAGAGGAAGGCTTTCAGTATTGCTACATGGTGGAAACCCATTCACGGTTGTAGGACTGAGTCCCGGCAATTTAAAGGCCTCCACATTTTCTAAACCTTCTAAAGAGCTGTAGCTAGGCTGGGTTTGGCTACACTGAGTGTAAGTGCCTTGACTAAAACTGAAGGTGTCTTGGTTAAACGAGGTAGAGGCAGAAGCTGCTGCCAAAGCAGAGGGTGAAGGAGTCTTGTTTTTCTGCTTTTGAACACTGCTACCATGACCCATTTTGGTTGCAATGGTCTGTAGAGTGTTGAGGATCTGCTTCTGAATTTGGGTCTGCTGCGACTGCTCCCTCTCCAGACGGCACTGCTGCTCTACAAGCATCTTCACTGCCAGGCCCAAGCTGCGCACTTCAGAGCCCAAACTCTGAATCTGATCCTGGAAACTGCTTCTGACTCCAGCGTCCTGGGCTGCCTGCTGTGGACTCGGGTTCCCTTCAGTACGAGGAGCACCCTGACTCCCAGGGGCCTGTATGCGGATAACAGCGCCCCCGGGAGACGCAGATGTTAAAGGTGCTTGTGGTCGGTTAGAAAGACGAATCCCAACTCGAGGAGGAGGATGAGGGGGAGGAGGAAGGGAACGAACAGGTAGCCCTGGTCTCTGGGTGAGAGAACGTCTAGGAGCGCTGCTACTTCCAGGCTGATTCCCTGTAACAGTCTGTGTAACATTGAAAACATTTCATTTAAAATGGTGTTCATATTGCAGTCGTACTAACAAAAAGCTCAACAACAGATGGTGTTTGTATGGCCAGGCTCCCAGACTCAGATCAGAAAATAACAAGATTTTTTTTTTTTGGGTCAAGCAAAAAATTTACCAAATACAAAACACAGAAATGTTTTAAGAGAAATAAAAGTGGCAATAAAGAGTCTAAAGACCCGACCATATCAGTCCCATGAGGTGACAGCTAAAATTGTGTAAGGAGAAATAAAGCCTATGATTTAACAGGTACTTTCTGATGGTGATAAACTCACATCTTTGTTTAGTAAAAGGGATTCAAAAGCTAAGTGTTAGCTAAAGCTAAATGTATCTCACCTTTTCAGTGGTCAGATCGTAGGTTTCAGGTGGCTGTGGCACAGTATTCCTCATGTCAGCGCCCTGGACACTTGACGGATCTCTCCTTAACAATGACGCCACTGTTGAAAACTGGTGAAAAACAACGTATGAAAGACTGAATAATATTTGGAGGCTAGTTTATGGTAAATTACACAGATTCCATGTACCTGAAGACAGTAAATATAAGTGGTACAACTGGGATTATGACAAGTACACTAATGCTTAGGTACCTTCAATCTGTGTGACAATGCTTTATCCAAAATTCTCTTTCGAGCTGCCAGCATTGAACTAGTGGCTGGAGAAGGTGTGACTCTCCGCCTCACTGCTGGCGTGGAAGTCATAGCACTGGTTTCTGACCTTGGTAGAGTGGACTGGGGAGCTCTTTGTTGGCTCTGCTGTGCGAGTGACGTGACACTGACAATCTGGATATCATTTTCATCCTTATGTTCTTCAGGTTGCTGTTCTTTCCTGTTGCCTCCACTGGTTTCCCCGGAGGAAGAGCCCTCTGAGCTGGTGGGAGTCTGTTTAGCAAAGTCAGCAGCAGCTGCAAAGCCAAGACGTTGAGATGAATCCCGTAATAGGTTTCGGATTTGAATGTTACTCCAGCTCTGCTGTACTGCTCCAGTTTGAGCTTGCACCTGTGCTGGTGATGTGCTACTTCCAGGCTCTACAGGTCTCACCCTCCCTGGCGGCCTCCCCTGGAACTCTCTCAGGAACAAGTAGATGGCCTGAGCGGAAACCTTAATGTTCTCCAGCTCCAGCACAGCTTTGATTTTACGGAAACTCAGGCCAGCCTTTCGCAGCTCTACCACTTTGTGCTTTGCAGCATCATCGAGCCGGCCCATGGTGAATTCACCTGTTCTGACCTGTCATAAAAAAGTGAAATTTAGAGTATGTTTAATAATATTGTTATTATTAATAATAATATGTATAATAATATAGAAAGGTGCGATCTCTGTAACAATGTTAGAGGTGTAGGGTAATAGCAGCCTTGGCAATAGCTTTGAAATTAAAAAACTAAAAATCCACATATTGTGAAAAAGTATTTGCCTCCTTTCTAATTTCTTACAATCGGGAAGGGGGCAAATACTTTGTCATAGCACTCTTCATAGCACAAATGTAATACACATATGATAATATAGTAAATTGTAATTATCCTCTTTGGAGCTAAAAGAGGCCACCCAAACACGTGAGATATTGATGGAAAGCCCAGGATGTCCTCGG